TTTTTTTTTTTTTTTAGTTTCTTTTGCTAGCCCCCTACCAGTGAAAATGGGGCTCAGGGGGGGGCATGTGCGCCCCCCCCCCAGGACCCTGTTTTCGGCCTCCTGCAGTCATCTGCCATCCTAAAAAGAGCTCAGAGTTCCATTTTCACTGGCAGAGAGCTGCAAGAGGCCATCCAGGCTGAAAGCGGGGCCCAAGAGGGTTGCACAGGGCTCTCCCAAGCTCTGTTTTGACTGGCAGAGGCATCGCAGGCCGGTCCTTTGCTATTTCCCAGATCCGGCCTGCGGGCCTTGAGTTTGACACCCCTGATATATAAACTAGAAATGTATCCTGAAAATTCTATAAACTTTTGTCATTCCCATATGTGCCATCTCCTGCTAGAATTTGTACTGGATTACCAAAGCCTCAGTTTATCTGATTTTGTCCCTAGAACTCATTGAAAATGCACCAGATTTTTTACCACAGTAATAACCACAGTACTGCTGCAATTAAATAACTATAACAATAGCAGCACCATCATATTAGCATCTTCTTGCTGATCCAACATAGCCTTATAAGAAGTATGTAATGGTCTGGTTGCTACATTAAACCACTTTAGGCTGAGTCGGATTAGCATACAAATGCTACTCTTTCCTCTCTATTGTGTACAGGTAGTCCTCAATCTACAACCATCCATTGAGCAACTGTTCAAAGTTATGACAAAGTTGAATGAATGGTGATTACATTTGGACCTCGAAGTTGAATGCTCAATTGCCTGAATGTAGTTCTTGCTTACTGACAGCAAATGGGACCAGCAACTCCACTGTAAAGCAACATGGTTGTTAGGTGTGACATTATGTGACCATGTTGACTCATAATGGGCAGTTTCAGCAGTCCCAGTTGCTATCAATAGGTAAATCTCACGTGGTCTCAGCTTCCTGAAGTCACATGATCACCTTTTGTAACTCCTACCAGTTTCCCTTTTAATTTTGCATGTCAGAAGACAGCAGTGAAGATGATAAATGACATTATGTGACTGTGAAGATGCTGATATGCTACAATACAAAGATCATAAGCTCCCCTCATTCAATGCCATTTTAACTTCAGATGGTTGCTGAACAACCATTTGTGGGGATCACCTGTATTGATGTTGACCTTCTTTGGTTTAAATACTTCTTTGAACTGTTTTACATATTGATATATCATAAATGCTGCTGAGTGTATCTCAGTCACTACAAGTGAAGGATATGTTATTGAAGATCATGACCTACCTTACAAATTTCTTCCTGAGAATAGGCTTCTGTATCTGCAACAAAAACAGGCATTATTATACCCACTGTAAGCCCATAAATTAATTTTAAAATCCAAGACTTGCCATGGACTTCTTCATGCGTGTAATGCCTCTCCAAAAACTTTCAAATTAACATCCTAGATGGGTTTGTTTTCATAGACTGCATAAGGAAGAGAAGTTGCTTTCATACAGGTCTATAGAAAGAATATCATAAATGCTGCTGAGTGTATCTCAGTCTCTACATGGTAGAATAGAAGATGGTTGAATCAAGATGGGAAAAAAACCAATTTCAAATATTCAATAAACTATAACACTATAGTATAGTTATAGTATTCAATATACTATAACACTTTGATTTCTATACTGTTTCACAGTGCTTTACAGCCCTCTCTAAGTGCTTTACAGAGTCAGCACATTGCCCCCAACAATCTGGGTCCTCATTTTACCCACCTTGGAAGGATGGAAGGCTGAGTCAACCTTGAGCCTGGTGAGAATTGAACTGCCGAACTACACCCAGAAGTAGCAGCTTGTAGTACTATATTCTAACCACTGCACCACCATGGCTCATGTTTTTCCATAGAGGGGAAAAACAAAAGTTTTGTCCTATTGAGGATATGAACAACACCCAAAAAGCATTTCAATTTCTTAGTTGTATTAGCAGAAGGCAATGATCCATCCACCAGTCAGTAAGCCTAGACTTTTCTCGGAACACATCACTCCTGGAATTGCTATTACTTTGTATCTACCTCTTTCTCCCATCCATCCAAAAGTTTACATGCATGAGCAGTCATGTCCCATGACAACTTAGAGAGGAAAAAAAGAAAATTACAAACTCTGGCAAAATAGAGATGCCAATCTTACTACTGAATTTAGAAGTTTCAGCCAGCAGGACAGTTTCTAACAAAATGTAGAATAAAATCAAACTGAACTATCCAATAACAGAGCAAACATAATGGCCATTTAAATCCCATCTTATCTCTCGGCTATTGAACAGAACTCTGGTTTGGAATCTTGCACCCTGAAACTCTTGAGACCACAATATTATGCTAGAATCTAATTCCTTTTAGGACCATGGATCTTGCATAATGATGACACAACAGCTCCCCTCAGCATATGACATGCAATAAGATGATTCTGAACATAATCATTTAAGGAAGGGGTGGGGGAGAGAAATGAAGAAGCAAGCTGTCCTTGTATTTCTAACAAGCTTCAAAGGATTTATGTCCACCCTCTGAATCCCTAGTAGCTACCAGAATCCATAAGTAGTCCCTACACTCATCCACTCAGGGCAATTTGATGTCTTATTACACTCAGGACCCAGTTGTGTCAACCTTCCATTTTAATCTCCCAACTATATCCTTTACATGTCATCACTCTGGCAGTGTGGGAAATGAAATGACAACAATCAGACTGGAACACTCTTGTTTCTTGCCACTGCTGCCAAGACCGTCCATGACCAGAAGTCAGGGGCACCGTGCCAAGAAAATTCTGGAGCAATTTTACATCCAAAAGGAAGGAGGACTCTTACGATTTGTGAAATGTGAAATATAAATATAATCTGACCCTAGATTTTTCTGCAAACAATATAAAAAGAAAAATCAACTACATCTCAATTGTTTGACTACTACTGGGACTTGTTTACTGACACACAGTTGTGTGCCCACACATAATCAGAGAAAATAATGCTTGACATTCCGATAATGAGAGGATTACAAATCTAAATACGATGAGAAAACGTCATGTTTATTTATAAGTTCTTCCTAGCGGTGTCGGCCAACGAAGTGGCACGCGCATATATAAAATGCAAGTAAATCAGTAAAATGTTTTAAAAATCATGTTCAAATGCAGTGTTGATTTGGGCGTTTTGTTGTTTGATATCTCAAAAATGGCAGAATGGAGCAATAAACTTTTATAGCTAGCATTTTGCCAAAGATTAGAGTGGTGCAGTGGCCTAGAGATGAAGCTCTCGCCTCACATTCAGGAGGCTGTGAGTTCGAACCTAGGTATAAGCAGATATTTCTCTCTCTGGGTACAATGAGAATATATCTACTGAATATAACTCCACATTGGAGACAGGAAGGGCGTCCAGCCAGTAAACACTCAGCTCCATTCAATTGTCCAGACTCTACCCTGCAAGGGATTATGGGGTCATTAAAAGGAGATGATTAGGCCAAACATTCAGATAGCTGCTTTGTTCTACTTCATGCCATACGGCCTAACATTTGCAAAAGTTATCAGCGGGACTATGCTCTATATCAGGGGTGTCAAACTCAATGTCATTGAGGGCCGCATCTGTTGTGTTTTATCTTGGGGGGAGCAGGGTGGGTGTTGCCATCTTGACGTCACTCGTGTCGCGAGTGCCTGTGGTAACCCGAGGGCTCTGCCAGTGAAAATGGGCTCCCGAGCTGTTTTCGGCTGTGCCAGCCTCCTGCAACCCCTCCTGCAAGCGAAGACAGAACTTGCAGCCCTCCCGAGCTCCATTTTCACTGGCAGAGGTACCGACCAGTCCTTCGCTGTTTCCAAGCGGCTCTGCGGGCCAGATCTAAGCACCCTGCAGGCCAGATCTGGCCCGTGGGCCTTGAGTTTGACATCCCTGCTCTACATAGTGCTACCCTTGTAGGCTATTCAAAGCTTCAGTTAGTTTAAAATGGGGTGAACCAAGTAAAGATAGGCTCGGTTTGCCACTGTGGCAACTCTACTATGGTTGTGTTGACTATCAGCTGGCCATTGAGTGCAATTCAAGAAGCCTTGTTTGACAGTCAAGGCTATTATTTTGGGAAAAGATTCCCAAGATTCTAATGCAGATAACTTACAATGGTAGTGATCATTCGAAGTTATAATGGCACTGAAAAAAGTGACGTATGACTGTTTTTCTCACTTATGACAGTTGTAGCATCCCCATGGCCCCATGATTAAAATTCAAATGCTCGGCAATAAACTCATAGTTATGACAGCTGCAGTGTCCCGAGGTCATGGGATCATCTTTTGGGACCTTCTGAAAAAGTCAGTAGGGATTCACTTGACTGTGTTACTAATTTAACATCTGCAGTGATTTACTTAACAACTATGACAAGAAAATAGGGTAAAACACAATAACTGACTCACTTAGCAACATAAATTTTCAGCTCAATTGTGTTCATAAGCAGATGACTATCAGTAAGCACTACTCTACATGTATGCCTGTGCATTGAAGAAAGGCAGCAAATGTTACTGAAACACACACACACACACACACACACACACACACACACACACACACACACACACACACACA